CACACGCACACGCACGCACAAGCACACGCACACGCACACACACGCAGACACACATACACATACACATACACATGCGCATGAAAACGCACTCTTTCGCAGATGCGCGCACACGCACGCACGCTCATGCAAGCACACACAAACATACAAAGGCACGCAGCCACACACTTAAAAACGCACACACACACACACAAATGCGCAAATACGCACACGCGCACGCAAGCACAGGTATACACGCACACATGCACGGGCGAGCACGCATGCACGCACGCACGCACGCACGCACGCACGCACGCACACCCGTGCTTACGTACGTGCGCACGCAGTTATAAACGTGAATTATCAACAGATAGTTTTGATCTTGTTCAGTATTGGTTATTGGCGGTTAGATAGGCCGCCTAGGCGTACTGTTCATATGTGTCTCTTATATGAGATTTGCAGACAGGGGGAAACAGCTGTTTTTGAAGGGCGGGCTTCCCCCGGTAGAGAGTATTATGTAGCCCCCTCGTTTTTGTCATGATCATCACCTCGGGGGGGGGGGGGGTAGAAGAAGGTGACTGCTGCCCACTAAATTTTGGATGATAAAACTATATATATACAGACTATAAAATGCATATAGAAAAATTGTGAAACTTGATGCAAGTAAATTCGTGCAAATGTAGATATTATTGCCGATAAATGCCAGTACTATAATAGAAGAAAATGAATTAACCCTTCAGGCCCTAATCCAGGTTTATTTTCTTGAACCCGTTAAATGTATTACCTTAGTTGTCACACGAAAATTTGCTTCCCTTCAAAAATGTGTACAAGTTACGCCCCCTGAATATTCACTTATAGTCATGTAGGCCTACTATGTAATGTTAACACGTTTCTCCTCTTGGTCACCTCCCCCCACCCCACATGTTCAGGTCACGGAAGGATCTGCTAAGGAAACAATCAGTAAGGTCGTTCTGCTTTGGATCAGGATTCACGAGAGATAGCCATAGTAATTTTAACTTTGGCTACATAATTTTACAACCAACAAAAATTAGTCGACAAATGTATTATTCACCACCTCCCTGCTATATTATTAGACCCCACCAGCTACGCCATTCCACTTTAACTGCTGCCCCCCCCCGTCCCTACCCACCGACGTTCATTATTCAAAGCATTCACTTCACCTTTTTTAGAGGGAAATTCATTACCATCGAGTTGATATTTACATTTGATTATTTGGTATTGTTTATTGATCGGCATACGGTAGAATATATTGCTCTTAACTCGTTTCCGATCTCCCTTTTCTTCTAGGAACACGCGGCTGACAGACAGACCTTCTACAACGTGCTAGTCTTCACTACGATCGTGGCGCCCCCATGCGGACCTTCATCAACAACAGCAACGACTTCTCCATTATGTTATGTGCGATACTAAGAAACTAGCTTAAGTGTACTAAGTGAAGCTTACTGTATGCTCTGCCTCATCTCCTAAAACTAAGTTCCATCTCCTGCTCATCAGTTTCATCTACTATCTCTCAGTTTCATCTACTATCAATCAGTTTCATCCACTACCCCTCAGTCTTATCTATTGCCCATTAGTTTCATCCACTAACCCTCAATTTCATCCACTATTCTTCAGACTTATCTATTACACATTAGTTGCAATAGCAGGACCGTAGGCCGAGCAAACTCTTCGGGGGGGGGGGACGCAATATTTCATGACATAGGTGTGTAATGATGACAGGTTTGTAGCGAACATTGCACGAGGGGTGGGTCTTTTTCATCGGGTGGGCTTTTGGAGCCAACCACTTGGCATGCAGAGGCGTATTCAGGTTTTTTTTTTAAGTGAGCACTGCGAAAAATGAGGTTGTGGAACCCCCAGTGGGTGGTGGATCCAGGGGCTTTCCCGCGAATAACTGTTTTTTTAATTTTAATCCGGTGCAATTTGCAATTTGCAATTCCTTAGAAATCACGCCTGTTTTGAAGGAAACACACAACAAAACGTACTCATATTATTTGACCGGCTACATCTCCCCTTGAGTCCGTGCATGGTCTATGTACTGCATCAACATGATCATGCCACAGAAACACTACATTTTTGTAGAATATTTCACTTGGGAATGAACTGTGTACAATAAGGTACAAACTAGGGCAAAAACGTCAATAATTGTAATAAGTATATCTAACAGCATTTAACATTACGTAAGCTAATTTTTTGGTTTTGCTCCAAAATCTAGGGGCAGCTGCACCCCCCCCCCCCAACCGATTCCGAAGCTACGGCCCTGCTACCCCTTAGTTTCATCTAGTAACTCTGTTTCATCTACTAACCCTTCACTCTTATCTCATACCCTTCACTCTTATCTCATACACTTCACTCTTATCTCATACACTTCACTCTTATCTCATACACTTCACTCTTATCTCTACCGTTCACTCTTATCTCATACCCTTCAGCTGCTTATGCTCAGTACCCTCTACTCTTTAATCTCATACGCCTCAAATCTTATCACATACCACTTACTGTTATCGGTCATACCGTTCACCTTATCTGCATACACTCTCAGCTCTTATCTCATACGGCGTTCACTCTATCTCAATACGCCTTCACTCACTTCATGCTCCATACCGAGTTCACTCTTATCTCGATAACCCTTCAGCTCTTATCTCATACCGTTTCAGCCTTATCTCATACGCGTTCACATCTTAATCTCATACGTTCACTCTTATCTCATACCGCTTCACTCTATCTCATACGCCTTCACTCTTATCTGCATACCCTTCACTCTATCTCATACCGTTCACTCTTATCTCATACCCTCACTCTTATTCTCATACCGCTTCACTCTTATCTCAACCGTCACTCTTATCTCATACACTCACTGTTATCTCATACCCATTCACTCTTATGTCAATACCGTTCACTCTTACCCATCTCATGACACTTCACTGTATCTCAGTAGCCCTTGCCACTCTATCTCATACCGTTCACTCTTATGCTCATACACTTCACCACCCCGATCTATCTCATACGTTACTCTTATCTCATACACTTCACTACTTACTCTCATACGGCCTCCGACTCCTTGATCCTGCAATACCGTTCACGGCATCTTATCTCATACCGTTCAACTCTTATCTCATACACTTGCACTGACTTAATGCTCATACCAGTTCACTCTTATCTCATACCGTTCACTGCTATCTCAATACACTCTCACGCTTATCTCATACACTTCACTCTTATCTCATTACGCTTCACTCTACCTCATACACTTCACTCTTACTCTCAACGCCTTCACTCTTATCTGCAATAACCGCTTCACTCTTATCTTCCATACCGGGTTCACTCTTATCTGCATACAACCTTCATCTGTTATCTCATACGCCTTCACTCTTATCTCATACGTTCACTCTATCTCACACACTTCACTGTTCTATCTCATACGTCTCACGCTGAACCTCATACCGTTCACTCTGATATCTCATCACTTCACCTATCTCATACCCTACTCTTATGCTCATACCTCACTCTTATCTCATACATTCACTCTATATAGCTCATACCCTCAGCTCTTCTCATACCGTTCACAGTTCTTAATGCTCGATACCAGTCACTCTTATCCTGCATACCACTTCACGTCTTTATCTCATACACTTCAGCTCTTTCTCCACGCGTTCACTCTTACCTCATACACTTTCACTTGCTATGATCATACCCTTCCCACTCTTATCTCGATACCGTTGCACTCTATCTCAACCGTTCAAGCTCTTCATCTCATACGCCTCATCCTTATCTCATACCACTTCACGCTTAACTCATACCCTTCACTACTTATCTCATACCGTTCACGTCTTATCATCATACCGTTCAACTCTATCTCATACCCCACACTCCCTTCACCTCTTATCTCATACGCGCTTCACTGCTTTATCTCATACGCCTCACTCTTATCTCATACCCTTCACTCTTATCTCATACACTTCAACTGTTATCTCCATACCGTTCACTGCTATATCTCATACACTTCACGTCATTATCTCATACAGTTCACTGCTCTATTCATAGCGCCATTCACTCTTATTCATACCGTTCACTCTTATCTCATACGCCTCACTCTTCATCTCATGACCCGTTCAGCTCTATTCATACCGTTGCACTGCTTATCTCAATACCGTTCCACTCTATCTCATGAACCGTTCACTCTTATTCATACCCTTCAGCTCTTATCTCATAGCGCTTCACTCTTTATCTGCCTAAAGCGTCACTCTTATCTCACATACCCTCACTCTTACTCAACCCTTCAACTCTATCTCATACGTCGTTCACTCTTATCTGCATACACTTCCACTGTTATGCATCATACCCTTCACTCTTAATCTCATACGTTCACATCTTTAAATCTCATACACTCTTCAAGCTGTTATCTCATACCCTTCACTCTATCTGGCATACCGTTCACTCTATCTATATAAAAAAACTTCACTCTATACTCTATACCGTTCATCTTATCTCATACACTTCACTGCTTATCTCATACCGCTGGGCACTCTTAGTCTCAATACCCGTTCAACTCTTATCTCATACCGTTCACTCTATCTCATACATTCACTCTTATCTCATAACCGTTCACCTCTTATTCTGCAATACCGTTCACTCTTATCTCATACACTTCACGCTTACTCATACACTTTGCACTCTATCTCCATACCGTTAAACTCCTACCTCATACACTTCACTGCTTATCTCATACCCTTCAACTCTTATGCTCATACCCTTTCACTCTATCTGCATAGCCGTTTCACTCTTATCTCAAATACCGTTCACATCTTATCTCATACACTTCACTCTATCTCATAACTTCCTCTATCTCTACGTTCACCTTACCTCAATACACTTCACTACTTATCTGCAATACCCTTCACTATCTATCTCATACCGTTCACCTCTGTATCTCATACGTTCACTCTTATCTCAATACCCTCAACGCTTGATCTCATACCCTTCACCTTATCTCATACGCCTTCACTCTTATCGTCATACCGTTCACTCTTATCTCATACCCTTCACTCTTACTCATACCGTTACTCTTAATGCTCATACCCTTCACTCTTATCTCATACCACTTCACTCTTATCTCATAACCGTATCACTGTTATCTCATACAACTTCACTGTTATCTCATACCCGTATCACTCTATCTGCAATACACTTCAGCTGTTACTCATAGCCGTTCACATCTTACTCTGCATACCGTTCACTCTTAATCTCATACCACTTCACTCTTTATGCCATACCGTTCACATCTTTATCTCATACGCCTTCAGCTCTTATACTCTACCGTTCACTGCTTATCTCATAGCCCTTCACTGCGTTATCTCATACCGTTCACGCTTCTTATCTCATACACTTCACTCTCTATTCATACCGTACCATGCTATCCATACCCTTCCATGTTATGGCTCATATCGTTCCACATCTTATCTCATACCGCTTCACTCTTATCTCATACCGTTCACTCTTATCTCATGACCT